AGAAAAGTTGGAACTCTTGGAGTTGAGACAAAAATGGGAATGAAACTTTCCAAAGAATGGATCAACAATGAGATAACCTATTCTGGCAAAGATAGGAAGCAACAGTTGAGCTCACTTCGAAATTTTTTTTTTGATCACAGAGAATCTGCTATACATAAAACAGCATTAAAAATAGTTGCTGAAAGCGAAAAAATGACTCTAGAGCAGTGATGGCGAACCTTTTAGAGACCAAGAGCTCAAACTGCAACCCAAAACCCACTTATGCATCGTCACGTGCCAGGTGGGTGTGGCCCATTGAGTGGGTGTGGCCCATTGGGTGGGTGTGGCCCATTGGGTGGGCATGGCTGCAGTGGTAACAGCAGACTGGGTGGGACTAAAAAGTTCAATCAATCAATTCCAACTTTGCAAGATCTTTTTTTTCCCCACGAGAAGTTGAAATTGACTGATTGATTGAATCTTTTTTTTTTTTTTGCACCCGGTGGCGGAGGCCTAAAGCGAAAAGGCCTAGGACTGGGTCGACGGCGCGCGTGCCCACAGAGAGGGCTCTGAGTGCCGCCTCTGGCACCCGTGCCATAGGTTCGCCACCACTGCTCTAGAGAATGTTTTTTAACGTCATTATCTCATGAAAAAATAATAACTGCAAAATGTTTTCGAACTGCATATAAAGTAGCAAAGGAAAATCAATCATTCCATCATTTTGAAACTGAAATTGATCTGCAAGAACAGAACGGAGTTGAAATGGGTCGTATTCTTCATTCTACAAATGCGTGTATTAACATTGTTAATCATATAAGTGAAGAAATGAAGAAAACTGTGGTTAAAGAAATTGTTCAATCCAATAATAAAATTTCATTGATAATTGATGAATCAACCACAATAAGCAAATTACAAATAACTTTATTATGGTCGTAGACCAGCAATAGCCATCACTTTTTACAATATATTTAATAATAATAATAATAATAATAATAATAATAATAATAATAATAAATAGTACTAACATTAATAGTAAATAATAACATCCCTGTTAAGAAAATACATGTTCTCAAAATGTTAGGGTCACTCCCTAGTTTACGTGAGTGGATAGCCGATTAGTGTGTGAGTAAATATAATGTTCCAAACATTATTAGAGATATCTCCGAAAAATTGGCACAAGTTGACGGCTATAGATCTGTAACCAATTTTTTTCTTGTGGACATTGCCGCAACACAGTATTTTGCCACTGCGTGCGTGACAGTATTTTGCCACTGCGTGCGTGAGTCCTGGAGGAGAAAGCCTACATAAAAATTGTCTGCCCTCCCTGGCAATCTCTCTAATAAGGGGAGAATATATACTGTCCTATAAACTCGGTATAACTCACAGTACAATAAAACATGTGAGATATCTTCGACTTCTCCTTTACCACATATACATACCCATTCTGCTATTGGTGTTCTTTTATACCTGCCCTGTAGGAGTGCTGAGGGAAGAATGTTAAATCTGGCTCTGAAGAAAGCTATTCTTTATTTTGGGAAGGTCAGATCATTCAGATATCTTGCCAATTCCCACACACCCTGTTTGATTCTATCCCTGCTGTGGCAAGGCAACCTATTTAGTTCTTTTTGGTACTCCATGTCCTTTATTCTATTGGATATTACTTGCTTTGCTTGGTCAAAGCCTAGGGACATTAAGAATATCGAAGAGAGCCCATAAGAGCCCAGTTTATGATCTATCGCCTGCTTCCAGGGGGAAGGAAAGTTGTCAGTCAGCACTAACGGGGACAGTCCCTCTGGAAAGAAATGCATTTTAAGCCAGTGAATGATCATCTTCCAGGCTCTTACCTGGATTTGGGGCATGCCTGTCTCAATTCTTAATTGGGCATTTGGGGTTCCTTTGGGTGCAGCTAAGATAGCTCGCAGGAATTTGGATTGTATGGTTTCCAGCAAGTTTTTCTTTGCAAGGATTCCTGTTTGTGCCCCATATAGAATTTGCGCCAATGTTTTGGCCTCGAAAAGTTTTAAGGCAGCAGGTACTAATTGACCTCCGCCTGTGTAAAAGTAATGTTTGATTGCATTTAGGGACCTATTGGCTACTTGCAATGTATGATCCAGGTGTGCCTTCCATGTCCCTTGCGAGTGGAAAACCACCCCAAGGTATCTAAATATTCTAACCTGTTCCAAACTATGTCCTTCTATTTTCCAGGAGTATTGGCTGGGTCTTTTAGCAAAAACTAAATTTTTTGATTTATCAAAGGACCAACTTGTTCTGTCTGCAGTAGCCAAGTGTTGCCCTAATACCTCTCTTCAGTCCTACAGGAGTTTGCGAAATAATGACCGCATCGTCAGCATACAGAAGAATCGGGATTTTGCGATGTGCTAGGTTGGGCGGATGCAGATCAGGGTTCTGTAAGAGATCGATCAGGGGGTTGATATAGAATTTAAAAAGGGAGGGAGACAGGATGCAACCCTGTCGTACCCCTTTTTGTACCCTTACTAAGCCGGTTAAAGTCCCTTGGGGATTACACCTCACTTTCAAGGTGGAATTGACATACAATTTTTGTATGAGGAAAAGGAGGCGTTTATCGATAGTAGTGCCTTCTAATTTCTCCCATAGGGTGTTCCTAGATATTGAGTTGAAGGCCTGTTTAAAATCGAGGAAGGCCAGAAACAGAGACGATTTTTTTATATATGTGTATTTTTGTACTAGATGGTGAAGTACCAAGATATGATCCACTGTTGATCTTCCTTCTCTAAAACCTGCTTGTTCATCTTTAATTATCCCCCCCGAAATTAGCCAATCCTGAAGTTTATAGTTTAGATGTTTGGCATACATTTTACTAATAACACTCAGAAGACTAATGGGTCTATATTTTCCTGGGTCATTTCTACTACCTTTTTTATAGATTGGTATGATAATTGCTAATCCCCAATCTCTTGGCATATGGCCCGTTCTATCTATAAATGTAAACAGAGATGCTAAAAGTAGAGCCCACCAACTGGAATTATTTTTTATTATTTCTGGCAGCACTTTGTCAGCACCAGGTGCCTTATTAGCCTTGAGGGCTCCAATCAATCGGGATATCTCGCCTAGTGTAACAGGGGGCCAATAAGGGGTTTGGTCCAAATTAATTTGGCTCTCATTAGTTACATAGTCAGGGTCTGCATATAGCTCTCTAAAATATTCTTCCCAGGCATGAATTGGTACTTGATTAGTTGGAGGTAGGAGGGATTTCCCCAATCCTCTGGTGATGTACCAAAAAAGGGATGTATTTTTTGTCCTGACTGATGCAATTAGTCTATGCCAAGACTCCTTCAGAGCCACCCTTTTCTTTTCTTTTAGAAGAGTCTTATATTGTTCCTTCAACTGCTTTAAGCAGTGAGTGTGATCCTCAGAAGGGGCATTTTTACTTTTTCTGTATTCCTTGTTTTTATTTTTCGGGGTTCGAGGCATTGAAGCACGACACATGTTGTAAACAAACTTCTTTACTTGCTCCTTAACTTCACTCAACTCTGCAAACAGGCACGCAGGCCTTTTATAGTCTTCCAACCCCCAGGCAGTCCAGCCAATAGGGAAACCCCTTTCTTCGTGCCTTGCGCATGCGCATAAGTCCCGCGCCAGCCAGTCTGGTCCCGGGCAGCTTTTAGGTTGCCCGGGACCGTTTGCAACATTTCTGGGCCTGCTGAGTTGCCTCATCAGGCCCAGGACACAACACCCCTCCCCCCTAGATGGAACACACAATTACAATTGTTCCTAATTTAAAAAAAAAGAATTTTCCTGCTCACACACAGGCAAAACATTTTTATAAAATAATAAAGTTTAGCTGAACAACCCATTCTCTAATTTTAGACTTAGTGTGTCTATCTTTTACCAAGCGTAGGTCCCATTACCTTGTTATAGACCAGCAAGGTTCCTTTGTGATGACAGAAACCTCACATAGTCTCCCAGATGCTTAGGAGGGGCCTTAGCCCGTTTCGACCTACGCAAAGTCAGGGAGGGTGCCTGGCCTGTCAGCTCACCTGCCCGGCTAGGCAGACCAGGACATGTACTTAAGGGTGCCTGGCCTACCGGCCCGTCTGGTGGGCTCACTAGACCAGGACTTTGATGCTCATAATTTGCAGGTGACCCCTGTTGAGGCGTGCTGGCTGAGTTGTCTGGGCTCTCTCCAGGTTCCCTTGGAGAAGAGGAAATCCCCCAACCCGCTGGTGGAGCTGAGGTCTTCCCAACTACCATGGATTGCTCCTGGGAACTTAGTCCCTCGAGCCCGTGACCAGTCTCGGACGTGACCTGCGTTGCAGGTGTGCCCCAATGATTCCAGTCCCCTGTGTAAGTGGCCGAGGTTGCAGAGTCAGGAGCCGCCTCTGTGGCAAACCCCTTCTCAGGAGAATTCCTTTTTGGCGCTCTTGAGGATGCGCCGGCCACCCCCCCCCGGGATGACTTCCTATTCGGAGCAATTGCTGATGCGCCGGACTCCCTGTTCGGCGTAATAGCTGAATTGTGAGGATGCCTTTGCTCCTCCCCTGGGGAATCCCTAGCAACCTGCGGCAATTCCCAGGAACAGTAAGGCTGGTTCTCAGGATTTTGACCTGAAGTGTGACCATGTTCCTGGGCCCCCTCCCCCCGAGAGCAGAGTCAGGGGCAGAATCGACGGGGGACAACCGCCAGCGCAGTTGGTCGATGTGACGCCGAAGGACATGGCTGTCTCCCAAGGTCACTTCGTATGATAGCAGCCCCAAGATCTTGCAGATGACAGCAGGGACCCAGAGATGTCCAGGACCATAGTTCCGTGCCCAGACCGGATCACCCACCTGAAGTCTCCTAGGTGCCTGCGGCTGTGACACCTGTGAAGCCACCCGGTCTGGGTGCAGTCTGTCCAACTTCGTGATGAGGCAGCGACCCCAGCGGAGTTCAGCTGGGCTCTTTCCGGTGGCAGTGTGGTGTGCAAGAAGAAAATCTGCTAACCTGTGATGCCAGCTACCGTGCATGATTCTTTTTAGCGCGTCTTTGGTGGTGCGCACCATCCATTCAGCTTGCCCGTTGGTGGAAGGGTGGAAGGGAGCTGACGTGGCGTGCCGGATCAAGTTGGCCTGAAGGAAAGCCTGGAACTCACAAGAAGTAAATTGAGGACCGTTGTCAGAAACGAGGACATCAGGAAGTCCATGGGTCGCGAACATTCCTCTCAACACCTGGATGGTCCTAGCAGTAGTAGTGGAGGAGACAGGTACAACCTCTAGCCACTTGGAATGGCTATCCACCAGGATAAGGAAGAATTGCCCCTGAAAGGGCCCAGCATAATCTAAATGTACCCTTGACCAAGGGGGTTGTGTCTCCTCCCACCTGTGTACAGGGGCCTGAGGCATTTCAGGCCATGACTGTTGGCACACCTGGCACCTGTGCACCTGGGCCTCGATAGCTTTATCAAGCCCAGGCCACCAAAGATGGCTGCGTGCAAGCACTTTCATGCGCACAATGCCCGGATGTCCCTCATGCAGAGAGAACAAGACTCTAGACCTCAGTGAGGCTGGGATAACTACTCTACTCCCCCATAAGAGGCACCCATTAAAGGCAGACAGTTCGTGCCTCCTTTGCCAGAAGCTTTGAAATGTAGCATCTGGACACGTGTCAGGCCATCCTGACAACACCCATGTCAGCACGCATGTAAGCGTGTGATCAGTGGCAGTTTCTGCAGCCACATCCCTAGCATTGAGGGGAGATTCAGGTACTTCCTAAATAGAGAGAATATTAATAGCAGGGGCAGGATCTGCCTCTATTTGTGTGAGAGGTAGCCTACTGAGGCCATCTGCATGGCCCATTTCTTTGCCAGGTTTGTGAATGAGCGTGTAGTCATATGCTGACAGGAAAATGGACCACCTCAGCATACGTGGGGAAATGATGTGAGGGGTTTGTTTGGTCGTTGTAAACAACCCCAGCAAAGGCTTGTGGTCTGTATAGACCGTGAAGTGGCGGCCATATAAGAAATCATGGAATTTCTTTATGCCAGCCACTATTGCCAAGGCTTCTCTGTCAATCTGAGCGTAATTCCGCTCTGCAGATGACAGAGTCCTTGAGTAGTAAGCCACAGGGACTTGTGTCCCATCAGCCTTTAGGTGACTGAGTACTGCACCCACCCCATAAGGGGATGCATCACAAGTGATGCATACAGGCAGTTGCTCATTAAAATGGGCTAATACAGCATTTGATGAGAGCAAGGCCTTGACCTCCTTAAAACTCCTGTCATGGACTTTAGTCCACTGCCATGGAGCTTGCTTGTCTAAGAGCCGGTGTAATGGCTCAGCCACTGCAGCCTTATGGGGAAGAAAAGCATGATAGAAGTTAAGAAGTCCCAAGAAAGCCTGAAGCTCGCTTTTGGACTTGGGACTTGGGGCCTCCTGAATGGCCTTCAATTTGGATTCTGCAGGGTGGATGCCTTGATCATCTATTTTAAAGCCTAAAAATTCTGTGGAAGTAACACCAATTTTGCATTTGTCCTTTTTTAATTTGAGGCCCACTTGGCGGAACCTCAGCAACACAGCCCTTAATCTTTCAGCCAAATTCTGTGATGACTCCCCTGCGATGAGGACGTCATCAAAGTAGGGGCAAACCCCCGGAATACCCCTGAGCGTGTGCTCCATGACGCTCTGGAATATGCCAGGAGCAACATTCACCCCAACTTGTAACCTTTTTACCTTAAAAGCGCCCCTATGGGTCACTATTGTTTGTGCCTCAGCAGTTGCCTCATCAACAGGTAGCTGTTGATAGGCCTGTGCTAAATCAAGCTTTGCAAACAGTTTTCCCCCTTTGAGGGAGGCCAGAATATGACTCACTACTGGTACAGGATATGCATGCTATTGCAAAGCTGTGTTCAAAGTACACTTATAGTCCGCGCAAATTCGGACTTCCCCGTTAGCCTTTAAAGGCGTCACAATGGGGGTTTCCCATGGACTTGAGTCCACAGGTTCCAAGATGCCCTGCTGGAGCAGCTTGTCCAGCTCAGCATCAATCTTGCCCTTGAGGGCGAAGGGCACCCTCCTAGGCTTAATCCTAACCGGTGTGCTGTTTGGGTTTAACTGCAAGGCAATGGGAGGCCCCTTGTATGAACCAAGCTCTGAACTAAACACATCCACAAACTCTCTGCAGACTTCTGCAATTCCTGGAGTTTGCAGACTATTCAGGCCAGTCACCTGGATTCCCAGGGCCTCAAACCAATCGAGTCCGATTAGACTCGTACGATCACCCCCAACAACCACCACATCTAAGAGGCCTTGGAAAGCCTTACGCTGCACTTTGAGCGTGGCTTCTCCAAGTACATTAACCTTTGAATTTTGAAAGTCAGTAAGAATTAAGTTCGATGGCCTGAGTTTGACTCGAAGGCCACTACTGCAGCAAATCCTTTTAAAGGTATTGTGTGAAATGATCGATAGAGCGGACCCGGTGTCCAGCTCCATCGATAAGGGAACCCCTTGTAACTGTACATCAATGTGAAGTTTCTTTTTAAGGGGCTTGTGTGTCCCTGTTCACAAGATGCTTCTACGCGATGCACAGAAACCCACTCTGTGTTGGCTGGGGACCCTGGTACCTTTCCGAAGGAATTCTTCCCGAGGTTGCACCTGCTGGCGACCCAAACAAATGGTGGCAATGTGGCCTTGCTTACCACATGCCCGGCAAATGGCGGAGCAGAACCGGCAGTCCGTGCGCTTGTGGCGTCCTCCGCAACCGAGAGACTGAAGGGCTGCTGGGGCCTTGTCTGGTTTCTCTCGCGGTCTTCTTACCGCCGGCTGGTGAAGTCTGTCCACCTCCTCTTCAGGATCCGGGTCTTGAACTTCCTGAGTGACCTCTTGATGGACGGTCGCGACGGCTGGAGCGTTTCTGGCGAGCCGCAAGGCCTTCACAGCGCCGCCTGCTGCTTCTTCAGCTGCAACTTCGCGTAAGACATCTTGGAAGGTGACTTCAGCTTTAGCAAAGATTTTTTGTTGCAGCTCCCTGCTTCTAAGGCCGCAGACGAAGCGGTCTCGTAAGCGTTCTTCCAGGTCCTTGAATTCACAAGGCCTGGCAGCTTGTCTCAAGGCAGCGATGAACTCAGCAGCAGACTCGCCCGGCTTCTGGTCCCTCTGCTCAAAAGCATGCCTCCACGCAATCACAGAAAGTTTGGGATGGAAGTGATCCTTCAGCATGTTTTTAAAGTCTGTGTAGGTGACAGACTCCAGCGGTGCAGGGGCTACCAGGTTTTCGACCACATCGAAAGTGTCCTGACCGCAGACGCACAGCAGCGTTGCTGCTTTCAGGCCGTCTTCCCAAACCTGGTTAACCCTTAGGTAATTTTCTACCTGGGCCACATAGGAGTTCCAGCGCTCCGGGTGAGAGACGTCGAACTCTGACAGACGTCCTATCTTCGACATCTTCTGCTTTGAATGCCTCGCTGCAAGCCTTCGTTGAGGGGAAGGGCCCGTTTGCCAAGCTCACCTCCAGCGATGCTGTACTGGCAGGTGAGTGCAGAGCTGGACGCCAATTCCCAGGCTTCAGGCTTTTCAGATGAGGCTTATCCTCTTCTTATTGCCTTTTTCCTTGCAGTGATCCCACCTTCGTCGCCACTTTTATGTTTCGGGGTTCGAGGCATTGAAGCACGACACATGTTGTAAACAAACTTCTTTATTTGCTCCTTAACTTCACTCAACTCTGCAAACAGGCACGCAGGCCTTTTATAGTCTTCCAACCCCCAGGCAGTCCAGCCAATAGGGAAACCCCTTTCTTCGCGCCTTGCGCATGCGCATAAGTCCGGCGCCAGCCAGTCTGGTCCCAGGCAGCTTTTAGGTTGCCCGGGACCATTTGCAACATTTCTGAGCCTGCTGAGTTGCCTCATCAGGCCCAGGACACAACACTTGTTATATATATTTTTTTAGTTGCACGCAATCCCTGTCAAACCATCTTTTATTCTTTAAAACTGGCTTTTTGGGGTGAGCTAGTATTCTGTTAATGAGAACCGATTTCAAATTTAAAATTAAAGTTTCAAACCCCTCTAAGTATGATCCTTCAAACTTATTCCTTAATAGAGATGTATGTAATTCTATGGTTTCTGGGGCTAACATCCATTCAGTAACTTCCTTTGCATTTTTCTCTGTCCATTTAATTTTTATCTGGGTATTTTGGTTCTCTAACCTGGGTAAATAGGTTGAGCCAGCCCTTAGCAGTTTCTGGTGTAATGTAAAAGTAAGGATTAGTGGATCGTGATCGCTTTCCAGTCGCGAGTCTACCTCCATCTTCTGCAGGAACTTCAGGAGGTCGTATGATGTTATCCAATAATCAACTGTGGATGTTCTTCCTGCTCCCCGATAGGTATAATCTGCTGGGTAGTCATCCCATGTGGAGCCATTAAGGATACAAAGGTCCAAGCGTACAGTCATCTGTCTTACACACAGAGCTGCCCGATTTGCCTTGGTGTCTTTAAATTGTCTGGCAAGCAGGGGTTCTCCTGGTACATTCTCAACATAATGGGTCTTAAATTGATTAATGCTTGATCGTTTGGGCCCATCCTAGCATTTAAGTCCCCCCCAATAATTATTGCTGCTGTGGGATATTTGTCTAAGCAGCCCAGGATAAAATCTTCTATACCGTCCCAGATCTTATCGATCAGATTATTCTACTGGCCCCTGTGTATCTTGGCTTCTGCTTTCCATGAACTCATATTCTTGCAAACTCTTGCCCCCTGGGGGGGGGAGTAAGAGGCTCAATTATAGGGGAAACCAAATCAATAAGCGGTTCAGCTGTATCGATTGTGACCAATAAGGATTTCTTTAGGTTTTCTAACTTGAGTAGTATATTATCTTGTTCACTCCTTGGGAGAGCACCAAAAGCATTAATGAGCCCAGTTTCTGTGCTATTAAGTACATCTTCTGTAAGTGCTGGCTTACTCCCACTTTCTCCCTCTCCCTTTCTCTGGGTTGAGGATGCGGAAGAGACAGCAACCTTGGGAGCTCGCATGTTAACAATTAAGGGTTTAACCCTTTCCTCGCAGAAAACTCTGATGGGAGAGATTTGAAAGGAGGCTAGATAAGCCTTCATCTTAAATAGCATCAGTGGTATGGTGGGCTGTTTAAAGGAGAAAAATATCCACTTCCAATTTGGGGCCTCAGGGAGCCACTCCACAGTATGTAGATCAATCTGCCCCCAGTGACAGTGCAGAAGCTGGCTTAGGGAATTTAGTATAGCATTCTTGGAATTCCAGCAACCATGATTAAGCCTGTTCATGTGGATTCTCAGCACAACCTGATGTGTTTGTAGTGAGCGATGTGGTTGATGTGATTGGTGTAATTGTAAATGGGATGCTTTATTGTCTTCCCATGAAACTTCTCTATTAATACCTCCTCCTCTTGTTGCCTTAGCTGGAGAAGGACTGTTTTTTCCAAGTGGGCTGCCACCTCTTTATCTGTCCCCCAGGGTCTGTGCTCATTTTCCTCCCCTCTTTCTTCCTTCTCCTGATTACTGGATCTACCTGAGGGAAGTCAGAGCCCCAGAGAAGGAAATATTAAAAAGGCAGAAAAATATTTTTCCTCAAAAGGATTTTTAAAAGCAAACCAACCCTGGCCTCAAATCTCTTTGCCCCAAGTAGGACCCAGCCCTATACAAATGCAGATGTAAAACTATCAGGAAGGCTGGAGCCAGAAGACAAAGAAACTTAAAATCTGCATACTTCACCCAAACTCTAGGAGTCATTAGCCCAGCCCCAGGGAAGCAGGATATGACTTTTGGGACATAATAGGACTAACCCATTACCATAAAGTATACCAGAGAGGCACACCTAAACTCAGGTCAGAATACGTGACACAGGAAATAGCCTCAAAGTTCATGCCACAGGAACAGGAAACTTCCAAACAAAAGGCTAGAGAGGGTATAAAAACCTACTGCCCATGTGCTCAGCCCTTCTCTCCTCTGCTCTTTCCTGCAAGAACCATCTTTCTGCTTCTTGAATAAACTGTAACCATCTTCCCAAAGCAGTCGCCATGTTGCTTATTTATTCCCGGCTTGGATGAACCAGGATGAAGACTTACTTCTGACATACCCATGTCTGCTGCAAAGACTTCACTGGGAGTGCCTGTAGCCCAATGCTGCGCCTGGAGCAGAACAGCTATATCTTTTTTCAGTGTCTCTATATCATGTTGAATGGTTATTAGCTGTTCAAATATTGAAACTACAGTTTGTGCTGTGAGAAGAAATTGCTTTGCCATAAACTCTGTTGTATTCTCCCACGGTAAGGTCTCCCCACTCTGAGTTAGATTGTTGTTGTCAACCTTCTTAGTCTTTATCTTAGTCTCCATGCCGGCTGTATCTGGAGTCATTATTTGTGAAAATAGCTGGCTGTCATTTTGCTCCCCTCCCCCCAGATTGGGAAAGTCCAGTATCTGCTGTTTTGTCTCTTTGCAGGTCCCATTCTAGTCTCTCTGGCTTGTTGGAAATGAAGGGGGGGGGAATAGTTTTACTTACAAGTCTCTTGCCAACAAAGTGCTCCTCAATTTTTGGTTGTTTTGCATTCTTCGCTGGTAGGAGAGATCCCGGGCTGGTGCCTTGGCATTTCCTTCTTTTACCCATGCCTCTGTCCTCCGGTGGCTTCTGTTTCCAATATATACTGGCCTCTCTGGTATATATACTTTATAAAAAGTCTTTGACTATTATAAAAAGGTCAAACAAGGTTTAAAACAGGTTTAAAAATAGGTTAAAATAGGTTAAAAATAGGTAGGTTAAAAATGCAATGTTAAAAGGGATTAAAAAGTTTAAAAGTTAACAGTTAAAATAAAAAGAAAATAATAATAAAAAAAGCTTTTGCTTTTGGAGGAGCTCTTTACAGCCTTTGCTGCCTGTCCACCACCTTGACTCCTCCCCGATAGATTATCGGAGGCTGTTTCCTATGTCAAACAATTAAGGGTTTGAACTATCTCCCACAATAAGCAAAAAGACTACCCTCATAGTAGATGTTCGATGCTGTATCAAAGGTGTTGGAATGAATTCACCAGTAAATTTGTTTTTGGACTTGGTAGAACTTGAAAAAGTAACAGCAGAAGGAGTATTTGATTCCTTACTCCAATGTCTTCACTCTTATGGGATGACACTTCTAATAAAATTTTTTATAAACCAAAGAGACCGTACGCTACCGCGACGACACTACTATCCTACATTTTCACCTCACTTTTTTAACGACAGTCTTCCAAAAGGAAGATAATATCAAACCGTAACACGATTAGACAGACTAGAATTATCAGTAGGTGATGCTGTCAAGGAAACTTCAGGAATAAATAGATTCAAATCATTTATTTTATTTTATTTTTATAAATATTTTATTGGGTTTTATAAGGATAGGAAAGGGATGGGATCAGTAGGGGTATAGGAAAGGATAAATGTAAGGGAATTGGGGATGGGTACAGTGATGGGGTTACCCCCAGCAAAAAATCCACGCTTAACAAGCAAGTTACTGTCTGGGTACCAAAATCAAATAAACATCACTTATATAATACTAAACAATTATAATAAACTGGGTTAACAATAATCATAAGAATAAAAGATAGTAAATAAATATTATTCATCTTACTAAATAACCATAATTAATAAAATAATTAATTAGTTATAATCACTAATGCTTAAAATCACATTCATCCAAATTAATTTCAAAATCTTTTCTCATTCTATCGTATTGCTAGCCATTAATAAAAATTTTCCCATGTTTTAAAGTAGATAGAGTCTTCTTTCTCTTTGATCTCTAAAGTTAATCTATCCATTTCTGCACATTCTAAAATTTTAGTAATTGTAGTCTGATCAGATGGTAAATCTTCATTTTTCCAAAATTGGGCAAATACTATTCTCGCCGCTGTCAATACGTGTAATATTAAATATTCATTCTCTTTTCCATAATTAGTTCCTAATAATCCTAAAAAAACCAATTCTGGCTTAAATTCTATTTGTATTTTAGTCATTTTTTCCAGCCATCGATGGATCTTAAACCAAAATTTCTTTGCCTTAGGGCATGTCCACCAGGCATGATAGTACGTACCTGGTTTTTGTTTACATTTCCAGCAAATATTTGATACGTTTTTAAACATTTTCGCTAATCTAACTGGTGTCATATGCCATCTATAAAACATTTTGTATAAGTTTTCTTTATATGAGGCTGCTTTAGTAAGTTTAATATTTCTATCCCAGAGTTTTTGCCAATCTTCTAAGTTTATAGAATGTCCAAAGTTCTTTGCCCATACTATCATTGTTTCTTTTACTTGTTCTTCTTCCATCTTCCAACTTAACAGAAATTTATAAAGTTTTTTAATCAAATTTTCATCTGTTGTTAGGAGTATTTTATAAATTGATATCTGTTCTTTATAAAATCCCGTTAATTTTACATCTTTTTCATATCTTGTTT